AAGCCTCTCATCTTGTTTTGTAGTTCGATGTGAACTCAGCCATGATACAATTTTCAGAGCAGATCAGTTTGTGAGGTGGAGCAAATATGTAGGAGGAGTGAATAACAATAAAACAAAATCACTGGGAAGCAGTTACTCAGAACAGTTAATCTGGTTTGTTTTCAGCTTTTTGGAGTAGCTGCTAACAAAAAGCTGAACACATTTGCACTGCTGACTTGGAAACTGCTGTGCTAACACACCAAAATAAATAAAAAAGAAATACAATACACAGCCTCTGTGCCTCTCTCCCTCTCCTGCAGCCTTTACCCACCTGGCCTGCAGTCACCACCACCATTTGCACTTCTGTGCATTTATGATTCTTGTTTGAGTACTGAAATTTATACATACATATAAAAAGTAAAAATCACACTTTATAAAACCAGAACAACAATTACTTACAATGCATGCTTATACTCATTTCACCTCTCTCCATTCTCCTTTCATCACTGAATACTTACAAGAGCATGGATTGGGTGGGTGAATGTCTTTCTGTGAAATCTTTTGTGTATGAACTCCTATCTCATCTGAAGCTCCCTGGGACTACAGCAGCACACAGAATGGCTGGATGAAAGTCTGACACAGCCTGTGGCTGCTGTGTGTACCTCACACACTGCACACAGGAGGGCAGTAACTCCTTATGCCCCAGCTGAATTTAAATTATTTACATCAGCTTGCTTACACTAAGTAATAAGGGAACTTGTTCCACCCCCCAGCTCAGCCCTCTGCAAAGAGAAGGCCATGACTGCCAAATTCAATCTGGATGCCAGCATTCTGTACATCATTCACTGCTTACAAAAAAACTAGAAACCGTTTCCAATATTACTCTGAGCAGATCATTTCACTTTTCAGGCCTGTTTCTACCTGGAAAAATGAGGCCACATTTATGGTGCTCTATTACACTGTGGAACTATGATGAGTCTATGCACAACATCTGATTTTAACAGCAAAATACATGTCTGATGATACGTTCTTTGCTGCTTCTACACTTAATTATTCTTATAAACCCTTTAGTGGTTTAGGTTAAAAAAAAAAAAAAATGTCAGTTGCTACATCACCCCATGAACAACACAAGTCCTCTATTTGCTCTGGCTGGGCACAGCAAATGCCATACAGCAATGCTACCAATCCTATACAAGTGACTGCATTGGTCACAACTTTATCCTCTGCAGCCCAGGAGTCACAATAACTGCAAGTCATCTTTCTTTAAGATCCTCAGCACATTTTGAAACTGTCCCTTTTGCCACCAGCCTGGATTGCAAGCTGAGCTCTGCAGATGTACAGACATTATGTCCCACAAAGCCATATCCAAGAGGAGATTGTCCCCACCTGTAGTAAGATGAAGTGATGCACGTTACAGAACCCAGAGGCACAGAGAATGCTTTGGCTTTTGGACATCAAAGACTAAAGCAAATTATTGCATTTGCTTCCTGAATCTGGGGACAGCAAAGGCTAGAGGTGGTCCACTGCTGCTTGGCTTTCGACAAGGCAATGGCCTTTCTCCTTGCCTCATTCTTAAGTTAACCTTGGCAAGCATACTTCCCTTTTTCTTCGCTGAAATTCACATAAAACATTCACACAGGTCTGACTGGAGATTCAGGCACGTAATCTACAAAGATAAAACTTTTCTGCCCATGTGTGGCAAACTTCAGCTGCAGCTCAGCAGCATCACTGGTGGAAGAAACTGTCACAAGTGAGTCCTGGAAAATATCAGTATACCAGCACTGCATGCCAAAAGCAGAAATAAGCAGCCTGAAGAAATAACACTCCAACTTCTAGTGTAGATGTTTATGGAGTTGCTAAGAGGGCCAATGACCCTCTTTGCAAAATTTTAAGTCAGCTAGGTGATGAAAAGAAGGTAATGACATTCTGTTCTTCAGAACTAGCAATCAAAACCACCTTAGGCAATGAAATCAAAGCCCAATTGTTATTAAAATACAATGGACTTTGTCTTCTTTCAGGAGTTATCTCAAGTTCCTGGGCAGCTCAGGAATTCCTTTCCTCTTCTCCCTTTGTATTCTTGGCTCAAAGCCATTTCACAGACAAGACAAATTCCAACTGCTGAAATTAATCCATTGTTTCAGACTTAGAGAATATGCAGGATATCTTCCCTACAAGACAGGAGTCTGCTCATAACCATTATCCCAGCTGTGCAGTTTCAGGTGTTTGTCCTTTAAAGCTACTGTATGGAAAGGCCTTTTGCACGTGTTACACATGGGTGCACATTCCTGCAAACCAGCATGCAGGTGACAGATATCTCCAAACTAAATATCAGCTGCTATTGGCATTTTTTAAACAATGAAAGCCAAACAAATCCCAAAAAGCAATGGCAACATTTCTTCGGAAGTTTGCTGAAATCTTAAGAAATGGACGCGGAAGCACAAATAAGGACAATGAGCAACCAAGAAAAATCACTTTTCCTCTCACTGTTGTCACAGGCTGGAGTTTTTAAGGTGAGATTTAACAGTATTTGGTAGCTTAGCTTCTTATTTCCTTGTTATTTACAGATGCCCAAATAAGAAGTGATACAACAATCACACTGTAAATGCAAATTAATTTCAGAATCATTTGAGACCAAAAGGTCAATAACTTTGTAATGAATTCATGTGCTTTCAAAATACCCAACACCTCTTTAAAGTGTTCTATAACAAATACACTTTCCTGACTCTAAGGGAACAAACAATAGGCTTAAATAGCATCAGCATATTATAACGATGAGCTCTTAAAAACTAAGAAGTTTAAACAGAACACAGCTTTTTCAAGGTAGATTCTCTATCAGCACCCACACACATTCAAACACCGAGTTACGATCGCTTCACATTTGCAAAAACATCCACTTCCAGTTGTGAAGAAAACCTTTGACTCGAGAAATGCGTTGACCTGAGTTTCATACAAGGCTTGAGGAGTCTGTCAGAAAATTCAGGGTCAGAGGAGATGATAACAATAATAAAACAATTTTCATCTGCTTTACTGGAACATTAGAAAGTGAGGGAAATATATAAAGACTTATTTATTTATTTATTTATTAAATCAGCAATGATATGCAATATGGAGATTATTCGGTGTTTCTCAGTCAGCAGTACATAACGTGAAGGAACAAAGCTGAGGATTGGTCCTATTTGCTCTTAGTGCAACTCTTACGTGCAGCACAGATTGCAGTGACACACAATGCCCCATAAGAACCACAGGTAGGTTTTATTTATTTATTAAGTGCAACTCACCAGCAATTCCCCAAATATTTTAGATTTTTAAAATCAAAGTTTCCCCCTGCGATGCCAGAAGTCATCGTTGTATTACAAAATAAAAGGCAACAGGTGACAGAGCCCTGTGCCAAATTACAGGTTCACCACAGTGGCTTCAAGGGAGTTTGTCCAAATCCAGTGAAAAAGGATACGTGACACACAGTACCTGGCCTAGAGCACACAGTGGATTGCTGAACCAGCTGGGAGGAAGGACACACTTTCACATTAAAGTTAATCTAAAAGTTAATTACAATTGTTATTTTTGCTCCATTGTTTATAAACATCCTCCTGCCTTGCTGGCCATGTACACAGGAATCTCCACCCCCAATATTTCAGGAGACATCAATCTTGAGGAAATGCAACTCCCACACTTTGACTGTTAGGCAGGAAAAACAGTGCTGTTATACAACACTACGCTGCACCAAAACATCTCAGCATCTGAGCATCAACCCCAGCACTTCCAGAAACAAAAATGGCAGCTTCTCAGCTATGAAACAAATTCACAGACACTGCAAATAGGGCCTAGCACTCAGCATCTCCACAACAAAAAGAGGTAGTCGAGTATCTAACTGTGTTCATGCAGGCGCTTAGGAAATCTGTAAGAGTTGGGAATTACAAATACTCAAGCTATTTCCTGATTTAACTGCAAATGGATCAACAGCAATGCTACTAAATTGCACTTCCCACAGCACTTTAACATTTTAACCCAAAAAGGTTCTTAAAAGGAGCTTATAAATGATCATAAATTAAGCAACGTTGCCAAGTTTTGTTTGTGAAGGAAGGTTAGCAGAGATAACCTCTCTTTCACAGATAACCCCAGCTAAGAGAAATGCAGCCCAAGTTTTCCTCCTTTGTTTTTCTCAATAGCAGCCTTCACAGAGTTGATATTCCTATTGATGAAACTCAACCAATTCTCAAAAACTCTTTCAGAATGGACTGATCTGAAAGATTAACTCCAGCCACACGGCAGGTGAATAACAACAATAAACTCTAGGTCACAAGAACGCAGCTAAAGGTCTCTGAAGGACAGCAGCTACGCAACCCAGCACCCTGCCAGCTCCACAGCCATGCCTCAGCAGAGTGCGGTGTCACTTCTCAGTAACCACTGCAGAGACAGTATAAACATATCCATCTTAAGTAAAAGGAGATTTCAAAGAAACATACTATGCAATCTCCTACTCAGAATGTTGCCTTAGGTTTCTTTCTTCTACCAAAATTGCTAGGAAACATTTGATGACTGCAGTCACCACTTCTGCTTTGTCTCTTATCAAAGACAGGCAGTTTGCAGAGCTTTGTGCTCAGTCCATTCAGCAACCTTTCCTCCATGCATTGACCTGTCCTGACACTGATAAAGCGTGTGAGGAGAGCACAGGCAAGAGGTGATAGGGCTCTGATCAGACCTTTTACTAACAGATGCTCTACAACAGATAAAAGAAGAAGAACTCAACCAATGGAACTGCTGCTTTCCAAGATCACAAAAGTGTATGTAGGACACCTGTTAAGAGCAAAAGCATTCGCTTTCCTTTAAATGGCCAATTATCCAGCATGAGATCAGAGCCTGGTCAGCACTACTAATTAGCGTTTTCCCCAGCCTTTTTAATTTACAAATTGCTTTTTTATTCATTTTCCCAGATTCTTGTTATCACAAATGTCTACAAACACAACTGGACAAGTATTTCAAAGCAATTCTGTTTTGTGCAGAGTTAATTCAAAATGACTTACCCACTAATAGCTTCACATCTCTGACGGTGAAATCCGGGTCAGGCATTCTATAATTAGCAAAGAAAGCAACGTTAAATACCATCAGGGTAAGCATAGGCACACTTTTGTTATCGTAACAAAAGAGAATACATAGTGGTCTCTGTCCATAATACAGTAGGTAGAACCAAGTAAGGCCTCTCTAAAGCATGGGCAGTGCAAGTATTAATGGCACACAGTGCCCTCACACTGCAAGCATGTAAAAGTTCCTCTGCTTGTAACAAACCAGAAGAGGTGTCTCTTCCAGCGCTCTCTAGCAGCACTGGAGTGGGAGAAAAGGGAAGGGGCTGGAAGTTATTTCAATGAAATCCCATTTCTGCTCATTTCTGCTAGGCAACTTGCTGTACTATCTGTATACTCTCCAGTTTTCCCAGTGGACACAAACTAAGGCAGAGAAGAGTGAAGCAAGTTGTTCAAAGTCACATCATCATAGACTGGATTCTCAATTTAGAAATAAAGAACCAAAAATAACAAATATAAGCCCCTTTATTTTAAAGGCTATTCCAAACCTCCTCGCCTAGCAGAAGACAACCCAGCCACATTTGATGGGTACAGAAGTAGCTGTTCGATTCAATTCAGGCTAATTGAGAGATAAATGATTTCCTAATTGGTTCACTGATGTTGACACATTTATAAGATCACTTACAATATCTTAAGTGTTTAATATACATAGAGTGAGTGAATTTTAAGTGTCAGGAGATTAAGAGTCTGCAATTCATTGACTGGATGGAAAAAGAAAACAAAAACAGTAGCGGGGATTTTAAGTTAACTTCATCATAATGAGATTAATTCACACTTCACATCTTCGTATAGCACAAGACTGAGGTAGGAATTGTGATGAAAACCAGCCCTGTAGGAACTGCCAGTTAGGAGCTCCGTCCCACTGCCATGGGTGGAAAACAAACAACTTGCTCCTGGTACAGTGCTTTTGACACAATTCTGTTAGAAATCAGAACTATACACCTACATGCAAACTTTCAGAGTTCTTATATTAAGAAAACACCAAAAGGTACAGTTAGAAAAACGCACTTATTGTCACGTGTGTATCTTCAGAACTATTTGCCAAAAGTTGTTTGGTCGCTCACTGCACCCTTATCACCTTCCTCCGGTGCAATGAGGCAGCTGGACAATATCTTTTGTTAGGTTGCTGCCAACCCTCACATCTCTGCATTTACCAGTGAGGGCCCCACAGCTTTGGAATTCACTCCCTTGCCAGAACGAAGCAGCCCGAATCAAAGCTCATCTCAATATCCAAGCTCTAGGAAGTCAGAAGCAGGGAAGGAGGAACTATTTGGGGGCAGTAAGAAGAAGCAAGGCTTACTTTCAAGTGCCAAAGTTTGCCTTTGTTTTATGTCAGGTGCAAAGGTGAGCAATCTTCTTCAGACTTGCAGAAATCAAAATAAATTCAACAGCCAAAACAGAGAACAGCCCTAATGCAGATGCATGCAAGCAAACCCATTCTTTCTGAGAGCTCCAGCAGCAGCTGAAAATCAACTTTACAAATAAAATTAATAGCAGTTTGGAGAGCACACCTGGCATACCCTTGTTTTTTCCTCTGCATCCTCAGGATGTGTTGTACAAAGAGTCCACCAAGAGAAGAATTTCAGGCTTGAACACAGCAGGTTTCAACTACAAGAACCCATACTGTAGCTGAGATACACCCTGGGAGGTCCAGTTTTAAATCAAGCCAATTCTGCTTGCTGCTGAGACTGTAAATTATTGTACTCCACCCTCAGCTTCAGTCAGCATAACTGCCACAGTTACTCCTCTACATGTAGGGCTGCTTTGCTACTGCTCATGTTCAGACGAGACAACAGATTTCCAAGCAGCATTTTCTCTCCGAGATACAGTAACAGGAATGATCAAACAACTCTATGAAAACAAGATTACCTTCTGCTAATGGATCACAGGTGGATCTTTCTGCTTCTAGTTATAGAAGTAGCAGCTCATGATGATCAGAAATGCACATGAAATCAATTTCCAAAGTTCAGTTATAATATTTTTTCCTCATTCATCTTATTCCTCAACATTTTGGAGTATCCCCAGTCAGTCACCAGACTGTTCAGCTATGCTTTGTACATCTGCCAGCCACAGACATGCTAACTGACTGCTTAACATCAAACAGAAGTGTGGAAATTCTCATATCATGTATTTTATAGACTACTGCATCTCAAAAGTCACCCCACACGTATATGGTAGATTAGGTGATCCATAAATGACAAATATAGCCTGCCATAGACAGGAGACAGCATTGCTAGAGAGGACCAAAAAAGCATGGCTTTCTCCAGAGCCTGAAGAGGAATACACATTTCCTGAACATCATCAGCAAATGACCCAAATCCGAAGGCAAACTGGCCCATCTCACTCTACTGATGTAAGGCAGCACGCTACAACAATCATTATTTCAAGCAGCAGATGTCAGGATAAGGAGACTAAGTATTTAAAATCAATTAGGCAAGTGTCTATTTTGATCTCACTGGAATACAACGCACAGAGCCTTTCTGTACCTACACATCCACAAAAGTTATATGCTGCATGCCAGCCACCCTCGATAATACAGTAAGAAGTGAAACTGTAAATAAAATTATACCTGTTATCTTGCAGAGTGTCAAATAGGAAAGCCTGCTCATGCATTTCACTTCTATCATTTAAAATATACATCCATCGTGTCTCCACAACCTTCTCTCACTCTATTGGCATTTACACCCAACTAAGTGAAATTCCTTCACAACATCCAATTCCAAGCTAATAACTCATGCTTATTTCAGAAAAAAAAGTTAGAATGTGAAGTGCCCTATAAGTAATTACTGATCTACAAATTCTAACACTTTAATCCTCCACAGCAGTCAGTGATTCAGAAGAGAAAGGAAACACAAGACCAACTCACCCAGCTGACTCTGAAATGGTTTTATATTTCCATTATGGTGAAATGGACAAGTCCATTGAATCCATGCATGATCTGTTCAAAGCTCATATCAGATAAATTTGCTCTCACTTTTATCAGCATATTAACTGATCAAGATATGGAGATCGGTGATATGGATTCTATGCTCAAAGATATTCTTAAAGGAAGCTTCTGTATTTTTCTCCTCTTTCTTCTTTGGTGGTGAATTCCATCTCCAGTATTAGAATGATACCAGAGACTCATTATTTTAACTGCCAGATCTCCAAAAGGCCAACTGAACAACAAATGAAGAGTGATGCTACTCCTGGTCTTGTTAGTCCTTCACACCCAATCTGTGCATTAGAGATTCTATTTATTGAACTACGTTGGTAATAATTTCCTAAGAAAGGTGGCTTACCTTTCAGTGGTCCCCTCTGATGACTGACACATGCTGTGTATGTGCATACACAGAAGCATTTGAGCAAGGCCATTTTGGGGCCTCAGCACAATGGACCTGTAATCTGGCCGCTCCTTAGGTTACTCTGAGGTAGCTTGGCTTTGTTAATACCCAATTTTGGCATTAAATTTTCAATTTAATTAAAATTTAATTAAATTTTGGCATTAATGGCATTAAACTGTGAGATGCTCAGCTGAAGTTGAGTGAAATAATAGTACTTGCACATAATTCATTTTCTATTGTTCAGATATAATCTGTTATACAATTGAAGTACCCAAAAATATCAAAAGAGGTTATATTTTATCAGTCACACAATCTATAGTTGAACTTTGCTTATTAAAATACCAAATCCTTTATGGCTGGTATTAAGAAAATACAAACTCAAAGACTCTAGTAACACCACAATTTAAATATTTACCAAGTAATAACACTGAGGAGATAAAATCATCAGGGAAAAAAGAGCAACATTCGACTTTCCACCTTTACACAGAAAATGATTGAGAAGTCAAAAACTGAAGGGTGGCTGTTCTGTCTTTGCAGCACTGATTGGAAGCCAGAACATTTGAATTTTATTTCTGACTGTATCACTGATTTGTTTTTTTGATTGAATAGAACAACACTACATGCACTTAAGTTTTGTAGAACTCATTATCTGTTTGTTTTTAAGTAGAAAAAAAAGTCACTCTCCTTCTTACAGGAACTGATAGTCTGACTAACTGCAATACCTTCTGATGTTATTAGAAGAACCATCATAAATAAGAGAAAGCATAATGGAGGTTTTATAAAAGCATTTCTTAAGATTTGGTGGTAACTTACTTAATTCCCAGTCCATCCTTATTTCTGAAGATAAGTGGAACTCTGAGAGCTTCTCTTTGCACATATTCAAAAGTAAAATCTGTTTGAATAAGGAGTAAAGAAATCCAAAATCAATTACAATGGCATTAGCACCTCACATTGCATTCTCTCAAAATGCAACCTGTCTCCTTGTCTCTGCTATTACTCAGAGAAAAATATAAAGAGAATGTGTATTTTAGGTCCAGAAACCAAATGACAGACAGTGCTCTCCCAGCTGCTCTATTTTTCCTGTTCACTGATGCACATAGAATAGTGTCCAGTCACTTGGCCAGTTAAGATCTGGGCTGCAACACGCAGGTTGTAATGAAATAGGATTCTCTTTTAACTATTAATTTGCTAACTAAATTGCTGCAAATCAGTACAGTACTTTTGGAGCAAACAAGTATTTGAAACTTAAGTTCTTACATTTTACACTTCAAGCTATAGATTTTTATTTTATTTTATTTTAAACTAGAGGAAACTTTCCCTCCAACCATCATTTGAGTACAACACAAAGCCCTGATCCTGTAAACTGTTTCGTTTCCATGTGAGGATTATTACTTTCAGCTGATGACATTCCCCTAATTAATTAGAAATCTAACTGCAGGAACTGATACACAGAAATTGGGTACAGCTGTTGGCATTTAAGAAGGTGGTGAAAATGAATAGTTTTTGTATGGAGGTCACAGAATAGCACACCAACAAACTGAAAATTAAATGCAAGTTTGTTAACACTGACCAGCATCACCTTGTTGCTTCGCCCTGAGGATTACACGGATTTAGGCTTTCCTGGGGATTTCTTTATGCGGTGGTCTGATACAATAGTGGTGATTCAGGGATTAGAAAGTTACAAGGCAGCAATTTGAGTGAGCAGTGCCTGCAGAACCCCACGGTTCTCTTGGAACTGGCATTCATGTGCTGCCTTAAAGTGGAAAGTATTGTTTGAATCTTTAGCAGCTAAGCACGACACTGCCAAAGACACAAAACACTGAATGCATTATAAGCGGGTACCTTCAGACCAGCATGCATGCAGCCTGGAGAGTATAAAAACTTCATCAGGCTCCAGCATACGGAGGATGTTTTTCTGCTATAAGAAATAGGGAGAGCAGAGGCTAAGCTCCCATGACTTTGAATCTATTTCCCTCTCCCTTAACAAACTTTTCCTTGCCACAGTCAATTTCTGCCTATGACAGGAATTGATGTAATATTCCTACTTAGAGTTGTCACATCAGAGCACTTTAATTATAGTTATTTACAAAAACATTAAAATTGTAGAAACATTACTTCCACTAGTCTGCAGATAAGGATAATTAATACCCTAATTAGTTAAGATACCAATTAAGTATTTCTGTATTAGATAAACCTTCATTTCTAATTCATATTCGCCTTATAACAGATCTGGCCTTAGCTCTATAAACCACAGATTTATTTATTTTGAAGGAAACTTTCATCCAAGACAAAGTCTACAAATATTTAGAACAACAACAGTTGAAGAAGCAGAGATTTACAGCCCAGAGAACAAGCAGCTATGATGATTGGGAAGAAAACCTCCAGCCCTCATTCCTGGCAGGAAAGTCAGAGAAGGGTTATCATTAAAAATGAAGACAAAGACATAGGAAATAGAAGTAAGTATCATTCAACCAATTTCCCGTGTTCGTATAACCTGACTTTTTATTGTTACTAAACACGGTCATTGTTACACCTCAATTCAATTCAGCACCTGGATTTACAAGAAAAAAATAAACCAATAGTAAAGAAATAAAAAGAGTGAATAGAAAGGCAGAGCTATTCTTTATAATGCCCCAACAAGCTTTTAAATCCCTTGTGGGGTTGAACAAAGCGGACACGGACCACAACAAACTAACAAAAGACACCCATTTGTTTTCAGGTTCCTCAGATAGGGGAATGCTACCCAGAGACGTTAGGGCTGCACAGCCGGGTGAAGGTCAGCGCAGAGCGATGGCAGCCACGGGAGCGCTCGGAAAGTGAGGGTAGAACGCGCTTCTGGAAAATTAATTAACGTCTTGGAGCTAAAAAAGAATAGGTGTTTGTGTTTATTTCGGAGGAAGAAGGGGGCAGGGCTAAGCTTATCTCCTAAACAAACACCTTCCTAAATAAGATAGGTATTTAATTTCTCCACCACACTAGCTTTTCTTTAGAAGGAAGCTTAAAAGCTCGTGCAAAACGAAGCCTGGATGAGAAAACGGAAAGTTTCTTAACTAAACTAGCGGCCCCGCAGTTAGAGACGTTTCGGGAAGGATACAGCAAAGCCTTTCCCTGGGGAAGGGGGTTCAGACAGAGCTCTCAGAAGAGCAGATCGGTGACAGCCCCGGCTTCGGGGTTGCGGCTCTGCCCCCGCAGGACTCGGGCACCGAGCCGCTCCAGTAACTCAACGCGCGCCGGGAACACAAAGAACTCAGCAAGTAGGGAAACCCCGGCCCTGCGAGCGACTCGTGGGTGCACCCGCAGCCAAAGCACCAGGCTCAGAGGGCGGCTCCCCGGTGCCCGACACGTGGGGGCGGCCGCGGCCGTACCTTTCCCATCCATAGAGTGCACGAAATCCCCGCGATACGTTTTGCTCTTTAATTTCTCCTCGAGATTGAAACTCCTGACGCTGACGATTTCCTCCACGTCCGAGAGGTCCTCGTGCTCATCGTACCTCCTCCTACCAATGGGCCGCTGCAAAACACAAAGCACACGGGGTGGAAAAGTGGGGTCGGTGGGGAGGGCGATGCGACCAGCGGTAGTGGCACGAAATTCGCCAAACCTCCCCCGGTGCGAGCCCCAGCCGCTTACAGCACCTTTTCCATCTCCTGACAGCGTTAACAGGTGCTGAGCTACAGGAAAAGCCAAACAGGGGAGAGGGATACGCTTAGCCCCACAGCCGGTTGTTGGTATTATTTTGCCACACGGGACCACTCCGGAGAACGTAGAGGGGTATCATTTACCCCAGAGCGCAGCGTTAAGGTTGCGTTATTTACATAATCCCGGGGTTTCCATAGCCACGCCGGAAGCAGCGATTTAAAAGCTGGACGCATTATGTAACGCCGCGATGAATTTCTCAACCCCCCCCACCCCCTTATCGCAGCCGGAGCCTGCGCGCTTCTACCGGAGCACAGATTTGGGGGAGGAAGGGGTTAATGAGGCCGGGGGTGGGGGGTCGATGCCACTGCCCCCGCCCCACAGCATCGCCCGGAGTTGGGGGGTCGGGGGGTGCGACACGCACCGGCCCGGGCCGCTGCCACGGGGAGAACTAAGTCTGTACCCTCTCCTGTTCCCCTCGGTTAAATCCCCCCCTCCCGGTGCCTGCGTTGCTCCGTGGTGAGCTATGGCGCTCTGCAGCCTGCCCCGCTCACCGTGCGAACAATTATGCAAAATCAATTAAAAGACACAAATAGGAAAGAGACCGAAGACGGCTACACACCAATCTTCTTCCAGAATCCTTCTCCGCCTTCATTTTTTCGGAGAGTTTCATCACTTAATTGTCAACGGCTCCTGTCCTGCATGTTTGGCCCGAACGGGGAGGAGGGAACACAAAAGGCGGCTGCTAAAGGTCTCGCTAGAGTTGGGCAAGTTTGCACCAGCACTTTTTTGGGGGGAGGGAAGGGGAGGGGCGGCGATGCGCTGTGCCAGGTCTCAGGGAGCCGCGGCTGGGTGGCAGCGCAAAGAGCCGAGGGGAGGGCAGCGAGTGCGGCTTTAAACCCGGCACTGAGCGCCGTGCGGTGGGGGAAAGGAGTTCCTCGGCTGGGGGCCGAAGAAGTCCTAAAATCACCTTGCGTGGCCGCCGGTACAAGCAACTGTTGGGACCGTCTGACCACTGGGCAGGCAGCAGGTTTGGAGCCCTCCCCGCCAGAAGGCACATCGCGGGGTCGCGGGCTGATGGCATAGGCTGTGCTCCTCTCGTCGATTCCCCTTCCACACATACAATTTTTGCAGTTGATGTGAGACTTAAATGAGATTCTACCTTTGCTACAGTCCTTGCAGCCCCCAAGTTACCTCTGCTCCAACGAACCTCAGCAGCAAACTTCAAGCTGCCTTTCTCAGATCGTTTACGTGGAGGCTGAGCTCTTTCTTAAACAGGGCATTTCACTACTCCTGTCTGCTTGTGCTGAACAACAACGTCTGCACACGGCATCCGCTTTCCCCTCACATACCTCATCAATTGCATTCTAAGCACTGCATCAATGTATTCAACATTATGATAAAAGACACAAAAATTCACCTTTGCAGGCCTTGCTGCTCATCTCTTTGGAAAGGCCCACATTGTATCAACCCAAGGCACACAGGTAAAGGCAGGGCTTGTCTCTTGAAAAGGGCTCTAACACAAGATTTAAGGCAGTGAGATCCTCTTCCTGCATCTGCCAACAACTGTTTGCAGAATCTTGAGGAATCATGTAATCTTTCTCTAACATCTTCCTACTTGCAGACGATTGAACCTTATTATCATATAGAAGCAGTGTATGGGTTATATATTGAAGTGTGGGTTGCAGATGTCTGTTATGTGGAGTGCATTATTAATCCATAATCCTGAAGAGATGGATGTATATGGTGACCTTTCAGCCAAGATTACTCAATCTTAAAATTAAATGCATGTGTACATCTGCAGGATTGAGGGCAGAGGACTTGTACAAGATAAATGGATGTTACTAGAGACTCATCAAACAAAAAACACATCATCCATCCAGTCTACAGAAGTCCACCAGCAAAGATGGAACATACACATAAAAGAAAATCAAGTCATTTTTCTCTATCTTTTTTGGGGACATGAACTATCTGAGCCTTTCAGTGCACCAAACCAACCCACCAAGGGCTGTTAATCACTCACACCTGGAAACACTCGAGCACACGACTGAAATATGGAAGTATGCTTCAGAAATATCGGTTTTAATCTATAAACCTCCAAACATAGAAAACACATTTGTAATCTCATTTTAAGACAGAAGTTATTCCAGTGAAGCTACAATTCATTTCCCCTTTGAAATACGACTGCAATAATTTTGTGTATTAATACCAAAACACAAAGTCACAAACTTAAAAGAACTGAGGAAAAAAGAGGGGTGGTAGGATGTTTAGGATCACATCCCAGCTGCATTAGGTGGGATGAAGCCATTTAGAGCAGTATCAAGGCCATGTGCTGCAGGATGCAGGTTAACTGCTGGCAGCTGGGCTGAGAGCTCATTTCCCCCCAGAGCCACTCGTTGTCTCTTAGCAGGGGTAAGATAAAAAAAACACCCAAATACAATTTTAGGAGAAAACTTCGTGAGTACCTGAATGCCAGCATACAGATTTCTGAGGGCTCTCTGGGAAGAAACCTGGGACTCCTGCTGCTTCCTCTGACTGTGTTCGTGCAAAAATGATCCAGAGAATGGGAAAAGGTTACCTCTAATTAGGGGCAATAGCAGCCTGCTGCTGCAGGGGCCAATTCCCTTTCTCATGCGTATATGTCCCACATTAAGGCTAGTGTTTGCGTACCAACAGGGAAGCTCGCTCGATTCAGCGGCCTGATCCAGACACAAAACTAACTCAGTACGAAAAAAAGCCTATATTTTTATTATGTCAGTACTCTTGCTCTGCAGCCTGAGGCAGAGGGGTGGTGTAGTTTACAGGATGGACGGGTGAATGAGGTGTGCTGAAGGAAGAGTGCAGGACTACACCCTTTTGGCGGCCTTCTGCTATTGCACTCATCCGAGGTACCAACAAACCCTGGCTTTGAACTCCCGCATGATTTCAGAACTCCCTGAAGCATTTTGAGTTAATTAAGCCCGAGTGAGTCATCGTTTCAGCTCACTCTAGAGGAGAGAGGTGTGTATAGCGGTGAGTAATTAGGGTTGGAAATAAAAGAATTATCCCGGATAGTTTATATCTCAGAATGGAGGTGTAAATGGATACACTGTTATAGTTGTAAGTGGAAGAGGTGTGGTGTTGATTTTTATTGTTGCTGTTCTTTTTAAGACTTAAAACACATAAAACAGAGTACTTTATAATACTATTGTATGCTGCCTTTCACACAACTCCTATGGAGCGTTACTGTAAGTCATGTCACCCTTGGAAGAGAAAGAAGTAGCAAAGAGCATCCGAGGTTGCTTTTATTACGGGAACTCTGAGTCAAACTGCTTTTCACAGAGGTCTCTCAATGATCCTGCAGACAAACGTTTAACTAACAGATACTTTTGACATTAGAACGACTCTGGTTATTTCCTGAGAGAAGAATGAGATAGAATCTATGACCAGGTTGTTTCAGACACTGTATCTACGAACTTCAAATTGTCTGGATTTTTCCCTGGCTGTGTCAGCTGCTTTTTGGCGGTGTAAATGGAGAGAAAAGCAGTGTGATCTGCGTGTGCGCATTCTGTTGTCGCCTTTAGATATAAGAAAAAGAACAATCTTGCAAATAAAGAAAGGTGTTAAGAGGACCAATGCAAAGACACTCAAGGTGTGTTGCAATTATTATTTTGAGGTGAAAAACTTCCATGTCACAGAAAATCACCCATTCCTTTAATCCCTAACAGCACTGCTGTTGCAGCAATTCAGCTCGTGCATACCTGTAGGCAGTGTCCTCGCCTGGCGTTTCTGTGGCGAGAATCATCCATCTCCTTGCTAGAACTCTTTAGCAGTGGGTTTAAGCCTCACCTCTTCAGCAGTAGCCCTCGGAGCTGTGCCATCGGCTTACTGCCTGCTCTGCACCTCGCTTTTCCCTCTGTAAAAGGCAGGGAAATAAATGGAACTGCATGCTGTTGGCGACTGCAAAACTGACAAGCACTGGCACTGGCCGTTCTGCTAACGGCCGGCTGTTATCAGCCGCTCGCTGATAAACGAGTTTGCACAAACGTTGATCTGGTGCCGAGGGCAGAGGTTAGCTCTGAAGTGAAGCGCCGGAGGTTTTCGGGGAGGCGGGCTGAGGGGGGGCCGGCAGCGCTGTAAGGGAAGGCAGCGAGAGGCGCGAGTAACGGCTGCCCCGGTCCCTTTTCTCTGTCCTGAGAGCGAGTGCAGGGGCAGTTCCCACAGAGGTATGAGAAGTTACGTAAGAAAACACAGAGGCCTGTCAGCAAAACGCGTCTGACGGTATCAGAATCGCTCCGCTCGGGGCCGTCGAGTCGCGGCCGCACTTTGCCTCAGCGCGGGAGGCGGGAAGAAGCCGCGCGGCGCCCCCTCAGGCGGCAGAGAGGGGCGGAGCGGGCGCCGGCGCGCAGACTCGGAGCGGCGGGCGGCAGGCGCGGCCCCAGCACCGGCAGCAGCGCCGGGCGCCATGGGGCGTTAGCCGTGCAGCTGGTGCCCTCGCTCTGCCTCCGGAAGGAGCCGCCGTCGCCGCGAGCCGCTCGCACCGCTCCTCCGCCGCCCGGAGCCCATGAGCCTGAACGAGCACTCGATGCAGGCGCTGTCCTGGCGGAAGCTCTACCTGAGCCGCGCCAAGCTGAAGGCTTCCAGCCGTACCTCCGCGCTGCTCTCCGGCTTCGCCATGGTGAGCGCCCGGCGGGTGAGGGGCGCCGGCTGAGGGCGGGCGGGCGGAGCGGCGCTTCCCATTTCCGCGTCGCAGCCTTTCCCGCCGCGCTGCGCTGAGAGAGCACCGCGCGAGGCCGGGGCGGCTCCGTGTGGGGATTTAGCTCTTAGAGAGGGTGGACCTCGCCACGCGGCCGTCTGGTGCTGATGCCGCCGCGTTGCCCTCAGGCAGGCACAGCCTCGCCGGCAGCCCTCGCGGCGAGGGGAGGGCCGGGGTCGCGGGCTGCGGTGTTGTTTTGCAGGCATATAAAGGCGAATAATCCCTTGGACGTTTAGAGATCGACGTGAACCGATATATTGAAAAACTCTCGGGTTTGCCTCATTCTTAGGGAGTTGTGCGCGCTTCCTGCTGTTTTTTGTTTTTCTGTCGCTTTGGTCCAGAATCCGTCGGACGCTCTCGGTTATTTCACGTGGAAGTCAGTCCGTGCCCGGTGCTTGCAGCGGGAGCCGCTTCCCGCCGCGCCGCCGTTCGGGCGGAGGATGCTGCTTCAGAGCGCGGCGGCGAAGCTCTGTCGCTCTGACGGTCAAATAAATGTCACTGTCCTCCTCCGGAGGCTAAAAACAGCCCGCGGGGACTGAGTGACAGGGCGCTGTGTCGGCCGGGGGGCGGTGAGCTGGGGCTGCTCTTCCCGTGGTACTGCCGCTGGCAGCTTGGCTGCTTCGCTCGGTGTTTCTGACAGCGAGGGCAGAAGGTGGAAAAGAGAATCTCTGCTTTCGTCTGTGGGCAGTTGTGAATGGTTGCGTTTCCAGAATTCCGTAGAATCGCTTTAGTTGCAAGAGACCTCCGAAGGCCGTCTGCTCCCACTGCCCGCAGTGCACAGGGACACCCACAGCTCCATCAGTGCTCACAGCCCCATCCCCTGACCGTGGCTGTGTGCAGGGATGGGGCACCACCATCTCTCTGTGCACCCTGTGCAGTGCGTCACTGCCTTCAGTATAAAAACTTCTTGTATCCAATCTAAATCTCCCCTCTTTCAGTTTGTAACCATTTCCCCTATGACAAGCACCACTAAGGAGTCCATCCCTTCTTTCTTACAGCCCTTTTTGACTCTGACAGGATG